AGACTTTTCTACTCTACTATCACGCTCTATCAGTGGCTCTAGGCTATCATCTCTTTGATATTTAATAAGTCTCTCATTGACATGATGTCTCGCAAAAAGAGTTAAAAGGTTAATGATTTTCACTCAATTTTTCTCCACGTAAAACCATTTTCTCTTTACTGCTTTTTTTATATATAATATTTATCATGTAGTGAATTCTACGCGTGCAAGTACATGTGCAAGTGTGAATTTTAAAATTTCAACTTACAAAAAATTTAGTGAGTTATAAAGTAATACTAAAAAATTAACTCCATTGTGTAGAATAATTTATTATTCAATTATTATTAGCTTATGGATTATTAGAAAAACACAAAGATTTTTTTAATAATATTTATAAACATATTTTTATTTTTTTTAAAATTTAATCGACTTAGTGAATGTCTTGCATAGCGTGGTTTTAAATTTGATGTAATTAGCCCATGCGTTTTTATAAAAAGATCTCTCTAAATTCACTATTATAGCAGTTTATGTTGATCATATAAACATCATTGGATCTCCAGAAGAGATAGAGAAAACTGCTGAACTCTTTAAGAGAGAATTTGAGATGAAAGACCTTGCACAACAAAATTATGTCTTGGTTTGGAATTCAAATATTTGCAAAATGGCATATTCTCCATCGGCCAAACTACATCCACAAGATGTTAGTACATTTAAATATAGACAAAGCACATCCGTTGGGCATAGCCATGGTTGTCCAATCCTTACATATAAATAAAGATCCTTAGATCAGTGGCAGTGGCGAGGCATTTGCCTCCCACGCCCTGCCACATCATATTTTGCCTTGCTAAGCATGGCATATTCTCACCATGTCACTTGCTTTCCATGGCATATGCAAGGCACCATATTACTTTTTTTTCTTTTTTTCTTTTTCTTTTTCTTGATTTGTTTTGACAAATAGAAAGAAACTTTTTTGAAGGCATTATAATTTATACCCTAAAATTGGTATATTTTGGGTTAAAAAGGCTTTTGTTTGCGGATGTTTTTTCATTGTTCAATTGATAAAATAAAATAGTTTTTTAACAATTTTTTTAAAAAACTTTGGATAAAATATACTCTTTATTTTCTTGTCAATTTGAAAATAATAATAATTTAAAAGAGATGATCTTTTACAAGTTGTTTGAAAGAGGATAATTTTTTGGGGACGATAGAATAATTTTATATTCCATTCGGCCAATGTAACTATAATAATAATAATTTTTTTTCAATTTAACTTTTCACCGTTTCAAAAATTTTACAAAATAAACAATGATAAGAATAATTTATTTTATTATATATACCATGAAAAAGGGAAGCATAAAAAATGTTATAAAAAATCTAAAATAGTAACTATGACATTTTTGGGAACGAAGAGTGTATAAACAAAGTAGAATTATTTTTTATAAAAATATTAAATAAAATAAATATTAATAATTAAATACAAAAAAATGTAAAAAAGAGACAAAGATAATGACTTGCTACTGTAATGCATGCCACTCCGTGCCCTTGCCACACGATGACTGGACTGTTTTCTATTGGATGAAATGTTCCACGTCAACGTGTGGCATTCCATTTTTTGCCTTGCCATTGCCCATGCTCTTATGAGCTCTGAGTTTTACTTTTTTATTGAATGAAAAGATAATTGTTTATTACCAATCAATGACAATAGGCTTCTTCATTTTAATATATTCATTGAAATTGATTAGAACTAATACGACGCAAATTATATTGTACATCCGGCTGTACAGTTCTTCCCTTAGAGCAAGACTAAAATTGATCGGAATTACGGTTCAATCTTCCGCCCACCTCAACGTCTTCGTCGCCATGTTCATCTCCCCCGTCTCCAGCATCTCTGCGACTCTGCGATGAAGGCGATGAAGGCAGCAGGTTTAGGGCGAAATCGATCTTCCGATCTGAGATTCCGCTATTCCAGATCTGGTCGCTCTAATTCAATCTTCTGATCCTATATTCCCCCAGATCTGGTCGCTCTAATTCAATCTGTTCTAATTCCAATCTGGTCCTAGATTTTAGATTTTTTATGAATGATATGTTATTTAAGATTGAGTACTAGACTGTTTGAGAATGAGTACTATTAGGTTTTAGAATAAGTATTACGTTATTCGTAAATGAATATTGTACAAATGTGTGAAAATGAGTACTACGTTATTTTAGAATGAGTATCACTTTATTTAAGAATGAGTACCACGATATTTCAAATGAATTATTATGTTTGTGCGAGAATGAGTACTACTTAACTTCAAAATGAGTACTACCCGGATGTACCTATCTCTAAGTACATCCAGATGTACCTTATACCTTCTCCTAATATGATGAAATGATTTAATGTTTACTAATCTATTTAAGAATCAACTTATTGACTTTATATTGATTGATTAGAAGTGATACGATTTCTTATTTAATTCTTTTTTTTATGATGAATGATGAGTGGGGAATGATTTTATAAATTGATTTTAAATTTTAATTCTTAGTTGTTCGGTGATGTCTGCTTTCTACTTTCAATATTTGGATGTTGTATTCCTTTATGAGCTTGGAGATTTAATTTCTTATCAAATAAAAAGAAAGGTGTTTAGTACTAATAATTAACAATATTATTTTCATTTTAATTAAAAAATACTAAATAAACACAACTGAAATAAATCTAATTTAAAGGGCCCTCATACCTCTCTATTTAAAGTATTTATTATTTTATTTTGTTCATATTTATTTATAACTTGTTTCTCATAATTTTTATTAAACTTTCTTGTAGTTATGGTTCCAAAAAAATGGGTATCAAGTCATTAAAAATGCAGAAGGGAAAGTAGACTTGAACTTACACAATCTCATAAGGGTCATGTGAT